TGTACCTCTGGTGCAAATTACTGACCTCTGTCATCATTTTAAGTGGGGGAACTTGCACAATCGGTGGCTGACTAAATACTTTTTTGCCCCACTGTAACCCCCAGCCATTCTAATGTTTTTCCTGCAGGCTGTCTTATCCAGTGCATTCCTGCTTGGCTAAAATTGAAACCGGTCCCTCTACAGGAAAGACTGAGGGTTTCCTGAGGATTTTTCAACACTGGAGTAGAGGGAATGGACTCCATAGCCTGACCATTCAGACCTGCCAAAAACATGAAAATTATAAATAAAAAAAGATTAGTAATGTGAGAAACAAATTCAAGAACATGTAATCAATTTCCACATTCTGTATTATAAATTCTAGTGACTTACAAGGCAGACAGAGCACTGCCAGCAGAGCAGACAAACTGAGCAACATCTTGAAAGAGAAGGTGTGAAGCAAGTACTTTGAGAGCCAGTCATTAAAAGAACCTGAGTGTGCCATGTGAATTTCAATAGGGAGGGGCTAAACTATCTGGGTGACATAAAATTCAAATGCATTTCAAAATAAAAACATTGCATTTAATTCACTCTTTTACTTCTGCATTAGTTTTTCTTCCAAACATGGACTCACTTGTTGATGGGAATAGTTTTTTAGCAGTAAAATACATCGCACTCACTCTTTTTCTGGGTATTGTTTTCCAGGAAACTCTTGCCCAGAGATGCATGTTTCTGATCTCATCTGAATCTCATCCTACCAACCTGCTGACTATTTATGGTTGTATTAATTATTGTCTCTTTAACATTTTCATTTCTCTCTTGACTTTTTACTCACCCCACCTGATCACAACAGATTGATGCCCTCCGTGAGCCTGGGTGTCCTGGAGGTTTCATTCAACTAAAGGAAGTTTGACTCTCTCCCTACTGTACTTTCAGTCAACTTAGATTTCTCTTGAAAACATTATCTGGTATTTATTTTACAACATGAAGTGCACAGAAAATAATTTAAAATTTTATTCACAAGACATATGATGGCTCTTGAAACAAAAGGGTTTTTTCATGATCAATATTTTATTGTATTGTAATATTTTTGCATTTCTCCTGTTTCTTCTAGTTTGCCAACTCTCCTCTTTGGCCCTTCCTTTCAGTGGGTTGCTCTGGCTCCAGGGCTCTATGCTTCAGATTTGACTTTCCCAATCTGCAGTGCTCTTTTTATAATGTTCATCACCTCTTGGTTTCTCTTTTTCATCCTTTCCAGTTATTACAGATAATGGCACTTTTTTTTCTCCACTGTCATGGTTTTTCTTTGTAATATTGTTAGGACTTTACCTTACAATATAAAGTATGATTAGATGATATTTGCTTTAAAGTAATAATATATGAATAAAAATGGATTTAATGGAATGTCAAAGAAATTAGAATAAAAGATTTCATGCTGCTAACTCATGAATTATTTCAATCTATTTTGCAGACAATTAAATTAACTATTTAAATCATTACAACTGGAATTAAAACTCCATCCATCCATCTGTCTATTCTGTACTTCTTAGCCGATTCATCATTGTGAATGGCTGATAGATGGACTTTACAACGAATGGCCTGAACTGTCTGTTTCACGTATCATTCAAATGAATCTAAAAACAAAATATGTTGCATCAAATTGTATGCTTTTGTTTTTTAGAGTTGTTTAGCAATGGTTTTATTCCCTTAGATTCACTTTCTATGGGAGATGGTCTTTTGTAACTTCTAAACTATGAGCTGAAACATTTGAGTTCCTTCTCTGTTTTCCAGTAATGTGGTACAGATATTAGCAGTGCTATTTTCCTGGCTAGGGAGAGCTATGCTAGATGAACACAGCTGTAAAACCTGCAGTGTTACAGTGATCAGAGGGTGCTTGCTTGAGTGTTGACATATTTTTTCATACTGATTTTTTTATCATTAGTTTTCACAGTTGTGTGTCTAGAAGTTTATTATTTTAAATATGCACTCAGACGTAGAAGAACATGTATCATATTCTGAATAATCTCTTCAGCAGTAAGTGAAATATAAATGGTCAGGAGAATGAGCAGCCATTCTGATGATTATGATTATATGGATTACATATATCAGGGCTCTAAACTAACTTTTTGCCATGGGCGTACCGGTATGCCTAACTTTAAAAAGTTAGGCGTACACAAATTTTATAATAATTTATATAATATAATGTGTTTTTCTGGATACACTGTGCTTTTTCAGCATTCAAAGATTGATGACACCGTGTCAGAGCACTGGCTATGAATTTCAGAAGGATCAGGCCTTAACTTAACAGAAAAATTAACAATAGTTCTTTTCCTATTACAGCTACATCCACTTCTGTCGTAGGCTGCTCACTAGGGCTGGGTCTCATCACTGATTTCTATAATCCATTCGATTCCGGTTTTCAAAGTCCCGATTCAATTCAACTTAGCCTCAGACAGTCAGAAATATTATAATTCTGATCATTTATCAGTACTGACTTCATCAGAATTGTGAACATCACAGCAGATGCCTTTGTGTGAAAGTAACTGAGAATAAAACACAGAAAAACATGAAGGAGATTTTCCTGGTCTGGCTTTTTATAGCAGATAACCTTAAAAATATTCTACAATGTTTTGCATATAAAGTTTAAATTTCTTCAGTATTGAACAACAGAAAAAATAGGCTTTCCTGTCCGAGGTCATTTAAGTGAAAAAAAGAAAAGAAAAAGACAGCAGCCGACAGCGCTGTAAACAACGGACTGGTGGGTAATAAGCGAATGAATAATACAGAAAACAGAGATTGGAGACGGGAAACTGTTCTTGAAATACGAAGAGAGAGAGAGCTAGCTGTGCATGAAGTGTGATTTTAATAGTCGTGGAAGCAAAACAGCAAAATTCATGATGACATTGATCAAATGTGAAGCGCAGTTTGCTGCTTCTTTTGCTGCTGGCTCGGTGAATTTTGGTTGGAGAGACAAAACCTGCAGCTCAGAATCAGCGCAAAAAGACATAATCACAGCGCAGACCGGACGCATCAGAATCGGTAAGCATGTCCGTCTACGGGCCGTCGGGTGAGAAAGCCGAGAAAGACAAACCTGCTCTCATTTGCTGTTTGGTTGTTGTTGAAATAGTTTTGTGAGCTTTAATCTGAGAATCTGGCGTTTCTGGCAAAACACAGTTATGTTTAAAAGTCGATTCAGGATTTAATGAATTGATATCGCTTTATTCAAGCTACTCACCTCCCACTTCCACCTGCACTTTCAACTGGACCACAGCCAATCAGAGAGGTCCCGCCCCTGACTATCTCTGATTGGTTTAGTCCACGATAGGGGCAAAATGTGTGTCTGTTGTTGACCACAGGGAAGGTTGCAGATTTTTTTTTTTTTTTTGCTACCGGAACAGTTGGTCGCACAGGTGCAACCAAATTTTTTTTTTAGTCGCACCACTGAAAAATTTGGTCGCATTTGCGACTAGAGCCCTGTATATGGTGATATGTGCTCATCTGCATATTTCAATTACTGATTAATTTAAACTTATTCATGCTCTCTGTTTAAATGCTTAAATACTTTTTTCATATTGATTTTCTTTATGAATCACCTTCAAAAACAAATGTTTTATAAATATTCTCACTCATATCATGTCTTCTTAAAAATGTTATAATATTTGTAGTCATCTACTGCCCCCTACAGGTTGTTATGAAAATATATAGCTGAAGGTTTTTGTAAAGCTTCTCTCATGTCAGAAACCACTGTGTGTTTGTCGCACAGTAATACACAGCAGAGTCCTCTGGCTTTAGATTAGACAGTCTCAGATATGTCATGCTGTTGCTGTTGTCTTTGGTGATTTCTATACGTCCTTGCACACTGGCAATATATTCAGTTCTACTTGCGTCACTCCAAATAGTTCCAAACCATTCTAGGCCTTTTCCTGCAGGTTGTCTGATCCAGTGCATGCCATAGCTGCCAAAATTGAAACCAGATCCTCTACAGGAAAGACTGAGAGTTTCATGAGGATTTTTCAACACTGGAGTGGAGGGAATGGACTCCATAGCCTGACCATTCAGACCTGCCAAAGTACCAGAAGTATAAACAGTTAAAAACTAATTTAATAAAATCATGAAAAAATCACTTAGTGTATTATAGCATAAAGGGACTCACAGGGCAGACAGAGCACTGTCATCAGAACAGACAGTCTCAGCATCATCTTGAAAGTGAAGGAAGTGCTTCAGATAGTTAGTGAGAGGACATAAGTGTGGCATCCCTATTTTATTAGGGAGGAGCAAACATATCTCAAATATATTCCAATATTATTCAAAAGGATATTTTAACTGCAAGTCTCTGCAACACTTTTAATTACAAAAACTGCACATTCCAGGGTGGCCTTTTGTTGTGGGCAGTCTGAGGTACACCTGTGCACTACTCATGATGTCAGATCAGCATCCTGATGTGGCACACCTGTGAGGTGGGATGGATTATCTCAATATGGCAGATGTGCCCACTACCACACATTTGGACTGATTTGTGACCACTGTTTGGGAGGGATGGTTATATTGTGTATCTGGAATGAATTTTAGGTCTCTACGTCCATCCCATGGGGAATGGGAGCAGTAACAAAGGTGTTGCGTTTATATTTTTGTTGAGTGTATGTAAATATATTAGTACATGTGCATGCAGTGTATGTAGTAAATGTACAGTACATGTAATTGAGTATCATCAAAATAGTAACTCATCTAATGTTAATTGTTTTGCATGTTATTGCATTTTATTCTTTCTTTCATTTTTATATGATGTTCAAGTGGAGTTCATTTCTGTAAATGTGAAATCTCAAAGCAAATCTTGATTTTGTGATGTGCTGAGTTTTTGTACAGAGGTGCTTCCTCTTCTGTGTGGGTTGGCCAGTGTCAGATAATACATATGTGTCAGACTATGTATCAGAATTTTCATTTGCTCAATATACCTCTATCAAGAATAACAACCCCCTTCGTTTAATTTCTCCCATTTCTTTCCCTTGAATAATAATCAGTTATCTTAGAGCTCCTCCTCTGGTAGTTTCATGTTATAACTGTTCAGGCACTGACTAACTGAGAGTAGTAGATTTCATTACTATCATGGTGGATCCAAGCAACCCACTCTGGTACTTTTCCAGCAGCCTGTCTGATCCAAGCACCATTAATATCACTGCTAAACCCTGAGTATGTACAGGTCAGTCTGTGTGAGTCTCCAGGCCTTTTAATCACGGATTCAGACTCAGTCAATGTTTGACCCTCAGTACCTACAGACAAAAACATAATTAGCTTCTTTATATCAAACATATCTTAATGTTTGCAGAGAAATGTGCTGTCCTTACCAGCCCAGTAAACTGACACTATAAGAAAAACAAAGGTAAACTCAGGACACTTCATTGTATTAGTCATGTCTCTCTGCTCAGTCTACAGTCATGAAAATCTGCCATGTAGTCCCTTTGTTATATTTGGCAACACATGTGTAAAAATCTGAATTTGCATAAACTCCTCCTTAAAGAAAAAGAAAAACTCTGTCTCATATAAAGAACTGCACACGACTTATATTAAAATATTTAAGCAAATATGATATATATTTACAAATGATTATTACTATTTGTTACTTAATAAATACTAATTTTCTCTCAAAATTTAGTCACCAATTTATTTATGATACATGGGCAAAAAACTCCATATATATTCATTATTAAATGTGTGCTCCTTATGTAATACAGTCATTAATCATAGGAATATTATGACTCTTTACTGTTAAAGCTCATTCTGATGGAAGTTCTGAAAAAGTGGATTCACAACAACATCAGCTCTTGCTTAAAAACAGGAACCAGATCAGTAACATTTTATGAGGCATCCAAAACTCCATAAAACAATATACCTCCAATAAAACTAATCTTCGGCATGGTGAATGATGGACATATCAAAAATGGTTTACCATTTAAAAAAAAAAAATTTAAAAACACCACATACAGAATATCGAACGATGGGTGTTTGCCAAAAGACAAGCAAAAACAAGAATATATACCGAAGAAAAAGCAAACCCTTCTCTTGATTTAGTATCACAGTGTCACTGTGACTCTTGAGGACAACAATAAACAGCAGAATCCTCTGATGTCATCTGCAGATTCAGTTGCTTTCTGCTGTTTTCTAATATTTCTGTCTACCACTCTCTCTATCAAGAATAGCGACTCCTTAAAGCCATTTCATGCACCCTTAAATCATTATTGGTCTCCTCCTCTGGTGGCTTCATATTACAAATGTGTTCATGCACTGAGAGGTTTTTGTTCAGGTCTGCTGATGGTTTGTGTTAAGTTTGACTTTTTGGCTCAGTAATACACAGCAGTGTCTTCAGGCTGCATATTCTGTCCTTTAGAGTCACTGTCTTGCTTGACATCTCTAAATCAATGCTGAACTTGCTCTTTAGTGAATCTTTATAGTGAGAGTCCCCAGTGTATTTCATCCCAATCCACTCCAGTCCTTTCCCTGCAGGCTGTCTGATCCAAGCTGTGTACCAGCCAAGAGAATAAGAGACCTGACAGGTGATGGTCAGACGCTGACCTGGCTGCACAATCACAGAGGGTGGCTGTGTCAGCTGTTCACACTTCACACCTGCAGAGAAAACATGTTGAATACAGTTCAATTTAAAAAAAAATAATAATAGCTGTCGGTGTTTCTGTTCAGTGAGACTCACAAGATCCAGCAGCAGCAGAGCTACAGAGAACATGTTAATACTGAAGCTAGTATCTTCTCTTCTTTGGAAACCTCCTGCAGTATATCAGGTCTTTATATTAGCCTGGGAGGAAGTTTACTTTGCATACAGATAAACACTGACAAAATAAAAAGAAATATAGATTAAAGAGTCAGCCATGGGTACAGATTGAATTTTTGTGAGGCATAATAATAATAATAATAATTTTAGAGTTCAATAACGTCTCCCATTCAGGAAAAAATACCACTGTTACACAAAGTGAAAAGCTTGAAAACTTAAAAATGTACAGATTGCATTTTTTTCTTTGCTTTTTAGTTTTAAAGGAAATAATATTTTTCAAATATTAAAATTAGTGCTGTCAATATTAATGTCCTTAAAATGATGTTAAGCGTAGTTTTGTGTAAACTTCAAATAAGTCCAATGGGTTTGTTATTTGTTGCACTACAATGTTCGATGATCACACTGTTTTAGCCTAATGTACAAAATAATGTTGACTAAGGTTACTCAGAGTTTAAAGGTGAAGCCGGTCAAATAACCTTTTATGTTTCTTCCCTATTTTCCCAATTCCCTAAGAAAAACTGCTCTTTATGTTGAAATTTTTATTATTATTATTATTATTATTATTATGTAAAGACAATACCATTTTGAAAGTGTACTTAAAGTACTTAAAATAACACTTTATTTTTATGTCTGCCCAATTTTGGCCAGGGATATTATGTTTGTTTTGCCTTTTTCCCCAGAAATTAAAAGAGCTGGAGTTTATAATAGTCATGTCCATCTCTATTATTTGATTCTGTCATCCACTAAATCCCTTTTAAATTAAATAAACATTTGCGCTTTGGGGCAAATTCTCTTGTGCGATTAAATGTGATTCTAAGCTTCTAATTAATTAGATTAATTTTTTTAAATCAAGTCCCACCCCTAGTATTTATATGTGCTAACAGTGTGTTCTTGTGAACTGCAGTCCACAGTGGAAGTCGCTCTCAAAGGACGAACAGAGCAAATATTTTGATAAGGCCGAAACAAAACAACAGAAAGAAGCGTCACGCCAATGAAAACTCAGAGTGGTCCACTAAAGAAAACTATGTATGTCCAAAGTGCCAACATGCAGTTCATACATGTGCCAATCGCTGCATTAAAGGATGAAACGGTCACTGCAGAGAGTTTGTATCACCTCATGAAAATTCTAGTGTGTTTATATTTATGCTTTTTTTTTAGGGCAAAAAGAGGAAGAGAACCTGAGACAGAGCCATGTTCTTCTTCTTCATTTGTAAAGCAGTAACATCATCAGCCACAGCCAAATGTTTTCAGCCTGCCTCACCAGCAATCACTCTGTGCACCTACCCAGGCTCAGCAGCCCTCCTCTCAACATGCATATCACGATCTACAACTGAATCACACCAGCCCTACTTCTCCATCCACATCCTCGTCCTTGGCCTCGTCTTCAGCACCCATTCAGCTCCAGACCATATAGGATCTTGCTGTCACTCCTGGAAGAATTTGACCCTGTCACTTACAAACAGTCTCAGCAACTCTCCTCTCCATGTGCAGACCACGGTCGTCAACTAAATCTTACCAGCCCTGCTGTTGATTCTGCTCCATCCACTTTTCGGCCTCCAAAGTTAAATTCTTTGAAGACTGAAAAGAGACGTGGTCACTTTTTGACGACCCCTTCACACCACAGCCCGATCAGAACTGCTCTCCTCATTCATATATGTGCACTACTCAGGCACTAAATGTAGTCTTGCTTCTATGGAGAATTCCTGTCTGGTCCTGAGTGTGATGACTCAGTGGTTTTGTTTTGATTAATATTGTCTTATGTTTCAGTTTAATTCTTGTTAAGATTTTCTAGTTCTAAGGTTTTGGTTCCCATGCTCCCCCTGTTCAGTGTCTAGTCTGTCTCTCTGTGCCTGTCCTCTTTTCTAGTCCACCCTGTCGCTTGTGCCCTCTGTTACCATGTCAGTTATGTCGTGGTGCTAAGTTCATGTCTCGGGGTCTGTGTCTTTTTGTACGCTTTGTATTTCCTGTCTTACTCTGATAGTCTCGTGTGCTTAGGTAGTGTGTATAGTTTCACTTAACTCGTCTTGTCCTGCCTAAGTAGTCCCAGTTATGTTTCCCTTCTGTCTCCCATTTCTGATTGCTCCGCTGTGTATTTTAGTTCTGTCTCCTGCTTGGTGTCGCGTCATACCATCATACCTGGCTGTGTGTTCTGTCTGCCTGTTAAGCCTTGTTATGATTCCCAGTCTAGTTAGTTTTCTGTTCCTTTTGCTGTCCAGCAAATAAAGCTGAGTTCTGAGTTTAATGTAGTCTTCTTGAGTCTTGCACTTGGGTCCTACA